ATGAAGCAGTTTTTGAAGTCGTCTCAGCAACTGACCAGTAATGGTCTAGCCATGGTCACCGAATTGTCCAAAACTTTGGGTGATCTTCAGCTTCCCACATTGGGCCGACGGCTCATGGGTGAGGACGGTATCTCGGAATGGGTCAGTGACACCAATAGACGGCTGTTGCAGGCTGGGCCACCCGCAGTTAAGCCTAACGTGGTGGTGGCACAGGACGGAAGTGGGAAATACAAGACCATTAACGAGGCTTTGGCTGAAATTCCCAAAAATAGTAACGTCACCTTTGTGATCCATGTCAAGGCCGGTATTTATAAGGAACATGTTGTCATTACGAAGGCTATGACCCACGTCACCATGTACGGAGATGGTCCCACCAAAACCGTCGTCACCGGTAGCCTTAACTACGTTGACGGTATTCAAACTTTCAAGACAGCCTCATTCGGTAAGTTGTTCTTTTCTGTACCTTTATATCTATATGCTCAAGGCCATTGAAATAAACTAATTTGGATTCGTGAAATGCAGCTGCCATCGGGGCCAACTTCTTCGCGAGAGACATGGGTTTCGAGAACACTGCAGGGCCTACTAAGCATCAGGCCGTGGCGCTGCGTGTCCAATCCGATAGATCGATCTTCTACAACTGCAGAATGGACGGGTACCAAGATACACTGTATACCCAAGCCCACCGTCAGTTCTACCGCGACTGTGTCATCACTGGCACTATTGACTTCGTATTCGGAAACGCTGCGGCCGTGTTCCAGAACTGTCAGCTGGTGGTCCGAAAGCCAATGGACAACCAACAGTGCATCGTGACAGCTCAAGGTCGGCTCGAGGAGCGTGAGCCAACCGCACTTGTATTCCAGAGCTGCCACTTTACGTCCGACCCAGCCTACTACCCACATAGAGCTGTGAACAAGGCTTACTTGGGGAGGCCATGGAAGGCATATTCCCGCACCATCATCATGCAGTCTAAAATCGACGACCTAATCCAACCTGAGGGATGGTTGCCATGGATGGGCACCTTTGGGCTTGACACATTGTTCTACGTTGAGTTTCAGAACACCGGACCGGGGGCGAACAAGAGCAAGAGAGTTGAGTGGGCCGGTATTAAAGAGATCACACCACAGCAAATCCTTGCTTTCACCCCCAAACCCTTCATCGACGGTGATGCTTGGATCAAGGACAAGGGAATTCCCTACTCATCTAATATGATGTAGGAATGAATGCGCACTCCAGTACAATAAATTTAGACCCTATAGACCGGGTGAGCTACGACCAATTTTTAAATATTTATGGATTGTGTATATTTTTGAAAAAGTATAAATTGTTATACTCTCCATAAATTTCAATCATTAATCAACCGACAAGATAAATAACTGAGAATAATCTGACCCACTAATAACAATACCGTATAATTTCTTTAACTTTCTCATATACTTTCTCATGATTTCAATTCTTTTTTAGTTTTTGTTTCTTTTTTTTTTCAATTAAAAGAAAATAAAAAACACGCAAACGGCTTCCCAATTCTCTCTTTACAATTTGAAATTATAATGATTTCTCCTAATCTGAGATCCACCGCACACAACCTTTCTCAATTTTATCAACCCGGATGAGGGGAAGACGGGTTCGGAAAGGGAGTGATGAGTGTAAAATATATATATATTTTTTAAAATGGGGATATTTTAGTCTTTATACAAATATAAAAGAAGAAAAGAGGTAAAAATAAAACTTTTTTTTTTTGTTGATGCAGAAAATAAAAAATGTTGAAGGGTCACAATTGGAAAGGGGCAAAGATACAACTTAAAAATTAATTGAGATAAAAAATTTGGAGGCAGTGATTTTAGTAAATAGAAGAGAGATATTCAAAATACCTTTCTTGACATGATATAGAAATTTAAAACTAAAAAAATATATGGAAAAAAATTGCGTCCAATAGGATTTGAACCTATACCAAAGGTTTAGAAGACCTCTGTCCTATCCGTTAGACAATGGACGCTTTTCATTCCAATTTTTTTTTTCGTATTTTTACCTCTCTTATTCGTTAAAAAAATGTGTGAGAATTCCGGAAATTGCATATCATGAAGGTAAAAAATAAAATAAAAATAAAATAATTAAATGATATATAATTAAAAATATTTGTTCACACAAGATTTTTGGAAAAATAATATTTCTGACTTGAACTTGATACGAAAATTATTTGGGACGGACCAATGAAATACACGTAACCTATTTTTTCCTTTAATTTTAATTTGAAGATAATTTATAATATGTCTAAATTTTAATAAATTTGTATTCATAAGACGTAGCGTTTATGATTGTTAACCTTATAAAAGTATTTTAATATATATTTGTAAATCTTTCTATAAAGAAAAAAAGAAATTGTTGCGATGAAAATTAGAACAATATGTTATAAGCGAAGTTTTTTTTCCTTCCTTAAATAGAATTGAAATTAGTTTTTCGTAACATTTTGATAGTTTATAAAAATATTTGAATAATTTTTATTTTAGTTGTGTTAGTTTTATTTTAGTTAAGTTTAACTAATCAAAAGGCCAACGAATTTGGTCGTTTTTGTTCCTAAAGCCGAGGAAAGAAATCGCCCAAAAATGGCACCAACCTTGAATCCCACAAATTTCAATTGAGAAAAAAAAGTTGGACTTCCCATTTGGCAACAGAAATAACTGCCCTTCAAAATATTTTCCATTTCTACCCCTCTCTTCGTCACTATAAATTCATCTCAATTCCACACTCTCTTCAAACCAGAGCCCAAGGGGCAAACCAATCTTCTATATACCAAGAAGCCCCGGGAGCTCTGCTGTTTCAGAAAAGAAAAAAAAGACTTCTTTTTTTTCCTTTATTTTCCCTTTCAATAAGTTGTTTATTCGCCGTCCAAGATGTCGGGTGACGACGGTGGAAAGAAGAAAATCRCAATCGTGAGCGTCTCTGCTCTAGTCCTTGTGGCGATGGTGGCAGCCGWTGCTGTCACCAACTCTAAAAGCACCGCTCCTGATACAGCATCCGGCAGTGAAATTACGACATCGACAAAATCAATCAAAGCAATCTGCCAACCCACTGATTACAAAGAAATTTGTGAAGAAAGCCTTACAAAGGAGGGAGTCACCAGTACGGACCCAAAAGAGCTTGTCAAGTCAGCGTTCAAAATCGCCACGGATTACGTAAATGGAGCGATTCAAAACTCAACGACTCTAAAAGAGCTGGCCAAAGATCCACGAGCCAACCAAGCCTTACAAAACTGTCGCGAGCTCCTCGAGTTCGCCATCGACGACATAAAACAGTCGTTCGACAGAATCGGCACATTCCAAATGGGCGAAGTCAAAGCGTTCGTCGAGGANATTGAGAAAAAAAAGTTGGACTTCCCATTTGGCAACAGAAATAACTGCCCTTCAAAATATTTTCCATTTCTACCCCTCTCTTCGTCACTATAAATTCATCTCAATTCCACACTCTCTTCAAACCAGAGCCCAAGGGGCAAACCAATCTTCTATATACCAAAAAGCCCCGGGAGCTCTGCTGTTTCAGAAAAGAAAAAGAAAATCTTCTTTTTTTTCCTTTTTTTCCCTTTCAATAAGTTGTTTATTCGTCGTCCAAGATGTCTAGCGATGATGGTGGAAAGAAAAAAATCGCAATTGTGAGCGTCTCCGCTCTGGTCCTTGTGGCGATGGTGGTGGCTGTCGCTGTCACCAACTCTAAAAGCGCCGCTCCTGATACAGCATCCAGTGGCGAAATTACAACGTCCACAAAAGCAATCAAAGCAATTTGCCAACCCACTGATTACAAAGAAATTTGCGAAGAAAGCCTTACCAAGGAGGGAGTAACCAGTACGGACCCAAAAGAATTGGTCAAGTCGGCGTTCAAAATCGCCACGGATTACGTAAACGGGGCGATTCAAAACTCCACGACTCTGAAAGAGCTGGCTAAAGATCCACGAGCCAACCAAGCCTTACAAAACTGTCGCGAGCTCCTCGAGTTCGCCATCGACGATATCAAACAGTCGTTCGACAGAATCAGCACATTTCAAATGGGCGAAGTCAAAGCGTTCGTCGAGGATTTGAAAGTGTGGCTCAGTGGTGCAATGACGTACGAGGACACTTGTTTGGATGGGTTCGAGAACACCACCGGTGAGGCGGGTGAGAAGATGAAGCAGTTTTTGAAGTCGTCTCAGCAACTGACCAGTAATGGTCTAGCCATGGTCACCGAATTGTCCAAAACTTTGGGTGATCTTCAGCTTCCCACATTGGGCCGACGGCTCATGGGTGAGGACGGTATCTCGGAATGGGTCAGTGACACCAATAGACGGCTGTTGCAGGCTGGGCCACCCGCAGTTAAGCCTAACGTGGTGGTGGCACAGGACGGAAGTGGGAAATACAAGACCATTAACGAGGCTTTGGCTGAAATTCCCAAAAATAGTAATGTCACCTTTGTGATCCATGTCAAGGCCGGTATTTATAAGGAACATGTTGTTATTACGAAGGCTATGACCCACGTCACCATGTACGGTGATGGCCCCACCAAAACCGTCGTCACCGGTAGCCTTAACTACGTTGACGGTATTCAAACTTTCAAGACAGCCTCATTTGGTAAGTTCTTCTTTTCCATACCTTTATATCTGGAATAAACTAATTTGAATTCGTGAAATGTAGCTGCCATCGGGGCCAACTTCTTCGCGAGAGACCAACTTCTTCGCGAGAGACATGGGTTTCGAGAACACTGCAGGGCCTACTAAGCACCAGGCCGTGGCGCTGTGAGTCCAATCCGACAGATCGATCTTCTACAACTGTAGAATGGACGGGTACCAAGATACACTGTATACCTAAGCCCACCGTCAGTTCTACCGCGATTGTGTCATCACTGGCACCATTGACTTCGTATTTGGAAACGCCGCGGCCGTGTTCCAGAATTGCCAGCTCGTGGTCCGAAAGCCAGTGCATCGTGACAGCCCAAGGCAGGCTCGAGGAGCGTGAGCCAATCACACTAGTGTTCCAGAGCTGCCACTTCACGTCCGACCCAGCCTACTACCCATATAGAGCTGTGAACAAGGCCTACTTGGGGAGGCCATGGAAGGCATATTCTCGCACCATCATCATGCAGTCTCAAATCGACGACCTCATCCAACCCGAGGGATGGTTGCCATGGATGGGCACCTTTGGGCTCGACACATTGTTCTACGTTGAGTTTCAGAACACTGGACCGGGGACGGACAAGAGCAAGAGAGTTAGTTGGGCCGGTATTAAGGAGATCACACCACAACAAATCCTTGCTTTCACCCCCAAACCCTTCATCGACGGCGATGCTTGGATCAAGGACAAGGGAATTCCCTACTCATC